CGGGGGTTCTCAACCTGCAACTTGGGGTATGGCCTTTGGTCAAAGCGTATGGACCTTGGTGGGGGAAGAGAGTGGAGGGGACCCGAGACCGCTCTGGTTGCTGTTGAATCGGGGTGGATCTACAGAGCCATGAGCCTAGAAGCTGCAGTGGTTTCTGTGGGGCAGGGATATGGCTATTGCCATCATCATCCCTTTACCTCTAGCTCTTATCTAACTGTTCTTTCTCTTCTTCCTCTTCCTCCTCCTTCTCATGGTTCTGCAGGAACTGGGACTGCTGTGCCTGGACCAGCTTGGAGAAGGCCCCAGAGCAATTGACTGGTACTGTACTGCAGGAAAAAATGAACCATGGAAGGAGAAGCAGGATTACCCTCCTGCCCCCATCCCATGTAATAAGAGGGCTAGCCCAGTCACTAATAAGAGGGAAGTTGAAACAGGGACACAGAAAGGGAACTAAGGAGAGGGGCTGCTTCTGCTGCTTCATAAATATCTAATATGGGAAGAAAGGTGAATGCACCTTCTGAACAGGAGTGCACAAGTCTGGTGGAGTTCAGGCCTGAGCATGCAGGGTGGGACTGGGGAGGGCTTCATTAGTGAGGAAGGGAGATCCCTGTGTTTGTCTGGAAAGGATCTTGGGTATTTGAGGTGGTTCAGTTGCTCATATCTCAAGCTTTAGGTAGTGGTGGTGAACAATGTGGCCTACCAGGACAGCTGCAGGATTGCATGTGCTGCCCCCAGGGTGAACGCACCGAGAACTTCTGGCTTAAAGAAATGTGGGATATGTTTATATAGTAACTATTACCTATGGCCAAGAAGGAGATTCCCTGCATTCATATAACATTTATGTACGTTTACTAACCTGCTTCTGATCTATTTTCCAGAGCTAGAGGCAAAAGACAAGCTGTAGCTCTAAAAGTAAAGCATAACAAATGCTTTCTCCTTTCTGACTGCAACACTGGCTTTAGGTTTTAAATGAAAGATATTTTTTCAGCCCTTCAGCTGCACTAGAGTGTTTAAAATTAAATAGATTCTCTGCCTCCAGAATAAGTTTTGATAGAAGGCTGCAGCCAGAAACACTCCTACAAATTAAAATACTAAGATTACCACTCTGAGCTATTCCAGTACTTCAGGGAAGGAAAATTTTTTGTAGCATTCTGACATGTGGCAGTAAACTTGCTTTTTTTCCTTACAGCTGTATAGCTTGTCATTAAAATATATACATATAATTTTCATGAATTTGCCTAATCTGACTAGAAGAATTGGAGGAATAATGTGAGCAAAGCAAAGTGTTTTTGCAGATGATGGTGTAAAAAGTTGTAACTGTTTTCAAAGGCCTCTGTCTTGGACAAAATCTAATACACAGGTACTTAACATTTGCAAAAATGAAAGTATGAGAATTCATATGAAATTAGCTTTTACAGAAGTTGTAGATTCTTCATCACTGGAGGTGTTGAAGAAGAGGTTGGACAGCCACTGGTCAGAGATGATCTAGGTGTAGGCATACCCATGTTCTACCATGGGTATTTCCCGTGCTTCTGGGCTTTCCTGGTTGCTCCTTTTCCTCTCCCCCCTGCTCCCCCACTTTTCCTGCTGTGTCAGGATTTTTTTTAAGCCTCCCAAGATGCATTGGGTGTTGGCTACAGCTAAGGTCAGGGACTTCAACTGGGGTGTGCTGATGCTTCTGCTAGGAGCAAGCTGGATGTTTCTGGCTAGAGGGCCTTGCCCCTCTGTTCAGGGTCAGACCAAGCCCCATATTTGGGGTTAGGAAAGAATTTTACCCCATGGTCAGCTAGGTATAATGGTGGGGGCTCCCTGTAGCAGGGAGCATGGCCCTCAGCCCAGGACCTCTTGCATGTATATTGACAACGTTTCACAGAAGCAGGATGTTGACTGCCGTGGTTCCCTTGCTTTACCTGTGGCATGTTAGGGTGTTAGGTCTATGCTGGGTCAGGGTTGACCGCAGTTTTATGTAGAGTTTAGATTATGGTTGTATGGGATGATTTGGATAGGGATGATCCCATTTCAGGCAGGGGGCTGAACTAGATGACCTCTGGAGGTTTCTTCTAGCCTTACTTCTGTATGACTTCTAAGACTGCTACTTGATATAAAAACCACACTCTTCTATATCACTCTTTGTTTCCAACTTAGACTAGTTGGATCTAGAAAAACTTAAAATACAAAATATTAGCTTCATTTCTAACTCCTCATGAAATCATATGTTGTTGGTTACTTCAAAGAAAACTAGCATTTGAGAAGGCAAGCTAAAACCTGCCTGCAAGTTTTACAGGCATTTTGTTTGCTATATAGATATGGAGGGAGCGGGGTGAGAATGTAGAAAGCTGTCCTGCAAAGCATCAAAACTCTCCAGAGTTAGAAAATATTAGAATTTGAGGTTGTCTGTACAACATTTAGTTGCATGTTTCTTCTGTGTACATGTGCGCTAGTCTTGCATGGTTGTGCTATGTGTTTCTGCAAGGCCTTGTCTTACTTGGCTGTCAAGAAAGTGTGATTGTTGAAAGGCAGCTGATTGAATGTATAGGCCAAAACTTTTTCACACCATCTAAACCCTGCACTGAATTTGGTTTTTAAGCCAGAAGCCAGGTCAGGGTAGTACCTCAGACACTAACTAGTTCAGGGATGCTTAAGCTTTTGTAGGCAACAGCTTACAAGCAACCCCTGCTTAACGCTGTTTCACTATCATGCTCATTTGAAATTGGTACCTGATTCCACTTAGCACTCAGCTAGTTTCGTTATAATGCTCGCGGTCGCCATCTTGGGTCATTAAAAACACTTGGAGTTGCCATCTTGGGTCGTCAGATACTTCCGGTTTTGCTTAATGCTCATTTCGCTTAACACTAGGTGTTTCAGGAACCAATTAAGAGTGGGGGTTGCCTGTACTTCATCAGATGTTATGGATTAATTTAGTTCTGTCAACTTAATTCCTGAGCTGATCATAAACGTAATGTACAAGTATTTTACAAACCCTGATGAATCCTTTTCATACCACTTTGTGGTAAGGTGGTATTACCCTTTTTTTATATACCAGTATAAGAAAGTGAGTTAAACTGGAGTTCAGCTGAAAAGGGCTCACTGACTTGTAGGGATCTAGCTTTTAGATTAAATGTTAAGAGGAGTTTAAAAGTTCCTGTGACTTCACTTGCATTTATGGACTGCTGTAAAGCAGGCCCCAGGTGTCTCAAGTCGGGTACCCAGCAATAAGACAGTGACCCCCTGTGAAGTTTTGGTTTTTTATGCGACTTGCCCAGTGCTACTTAGGAATTCGATGGCAGAGGCAGGGGTAGAGCCAGTTCTCCAGGGCACCATTTAGCATCCTTAACCATGCGACCATCCTTCCTGCCTCACTTACTATGCGCCTTTTGAGAGCTAAATCAATTAAAGCAGAGAATAAGGCAGCTGCCTGATTCTCTACATATGCTTACTTATTCCTTGCATTATCCATCTGTTGCCTAAAATAAGGCTCTGCCTGGGAAAGTACATCTACTTCCCAGTGAGCCTTGTTATAACAAACTTGGTTGTAACCTGATTTGTGGAGTGACTGCTGCCTTCCCACGAGGCTCAGTTGAAATGATTTAGCCTGTTGGGGGTAGGGGGTGGGGACTGGACCACTTAAATCATTTGTATAAATTAGTTTTCAAAGTTCTCTGGAATTTTGTACTTTTTTGCTTTTCTAAGGATACTAGTCAACTTCCAGCTTTCCTTCCATCTCCCTCCTTCCTTCTCTTCCTTATTATGCTAGCAGGCTGTCCTTGGAAAGTGAAGCTGTAGAGAATGAACGTCCCTGACTGCAGAAAACGAGACAATTTTCTATTCAAATTTGTAAATTGAACTACTTTAGTAATTTGTCAAGATGAGTAGGTATGAAATCTGCATGAGCAAGAAGGGATGGCATGTGGGACCGCATCTGTCACTTGCACAGACAACCTTGGGAGACGCATTTATAAAGCACTTATGGCAACTCACAAGCACGTTGCAGCGTGTGCCAGGACTGTAATAAGAAAGCAGTTCTTCACCAAAGGTTTCAGGGAAGATGGGGGGGAAACTTGAAGCTTGTGCTTTCCAGGGAAATCCTCTGTAAGCCATGTAGGGGGTGAAAAAAAACAGATCCTTCTTCCTGGGCTGGATCTGGGCACAGTGGCACAGAGCGAGCAGCTGTGGCATGAGGGTTATCATGGCTGACTCGTCCCCAGCATGGGAGTCTGGTGGCAGGCCCTACCCCTTCCCACCCCACCCCCAAATGCCTGGCCCTTCCAGAGGCTCCATGGGCCGGGTGAAGTACCTCTTTGAGTCAGATCTGACCTGCAGAATGGCTCTTTGACATCCTTGTTCTCAATGCTTGTTAGGAGCTTATGAAAATCCCTGACTTCAGAGAACAGACTGCATCCATTTCTAATGAGACTTGTGATCTGAAGTCATTTACAGATCCTGCTTCTCACAGAGCTATCTCTTGATGGCTCGTGGAAGAAGGGAGAAACACCTGCTTCTAAAGATTCCAATATTTGCAATGTTCAAGAATGATAAATTGTACCCTGAGCACAGAAAAACTGGAATTGGTTGGAAAACCAGATAATTGTTTCATTGTGGAGGTCAGGCAGCGTTTCCCTACTTCAGTGGTTCTCAGCCTTTTTAGGCTTGTGGATCTCGTGGTACCCAATGTGGGGCTGTGGTGTCCCTGTTAAGAACAACTACTCTAGTTCCTACAACCAACCGTCTTAGAGGTGGTGTAATCAATTGCTGCCCTTTCTTAGTGTTAGGTAAGTATTGATATTGAAAATATTGGTAAGGAAACTGCTAAGTACTTGTCAACTCGAATCAACTCTTGTTGAAACTCTTTAGAAAACGAACCTGCATAGATTGGTTTTCTTTTTGTTTCAGGGCGTGATTCTTCCTGCTGTATGATCTTTATGATGTGTTGTGACAGTTTAATGAGCATTTTTGCTGCTTTCTCTTGTTTATCCCAGGCTCACTTTTCGTTTTGTTTGTAGGTACAATGGCTCCCTGCCTAATGGTGACAGAGGACGTAGGAAAAGCAGATTTGCTCTCTACAAACGACCCAAGGCTAATGGAGTCAAACCTAGTACTGTTCATGTGATTTCTACCCCCCAAGCATCCAAGGTATGTGGCTGTTGGAGAGCTTTCTCCTCTTGATATCTTGACTGAAGATACAATATTAGTAGTGTACTTGCCCCCCTTTTTTGTGCTTTGTTGCCATTTCGGTGGTTCTTGATGTTTCGAATCAGTGAAAGAGCCTGATGAGAAATCTTCAATGTCTCCTCTTTCTGGTGATACTTGCTCTGATTAAAACTTGAAAGCTGCCTTTGAAAAGAATTTTAATTTCTGATCCTATGGCTTCCATACAATGGCTTATTGGTAGGACAATTATTATTATTTTTTTTGCTATTTGAGGTACAGAACAAAATGTGGCACTAACATCTAGAGTGCAGAACCTATTTTTGCTGCATAGCCAGAAGTAACTTTTAACATGTTGATGCTTAAGCTGTTGCTTGCACTTCAGTTAACACCTTTTCAGGAAGAAAATTAGCGTTCTATTGAGCAAAACAGTGTTGATCTCCCTGGGATTCTAGTAATTCATAAAAATCTGTGGTTGTATAACATGCACAGAAGTGTCCCATGGGTTGTCTGGTGTGTATATACCCTCCCTTCCCCTAACCTAGTCATGATAGGGAAGTAAACTGAAGCTTCTGATCGAAGAGATGGTAACTTGCTAAAGAATGGTGTTCTGTTTTAGTTGAACATGGTACTTCCTGTACAATCTGGGTGAGATGCTTCTTTTCTACACATTGTTATGTATAGTTACTGAAATCCTAAAATATGGGCAAGGTAGCTATCAGTTTTTGACAGTGGACTTTGATTTGAGATCTAGATAATATTGTCAAGTCATGTAAGAGTTTGTCCAAACACAGACTGTGCACCATAGATTTTGTTTAAAGATTTTTATTAAAGAAACTTCATTAGTTTAGACATTTTAAGTTGCTTTTAAACACCCTTCATCAGGCCTGATGAAGGGCATTTGTGCCCGAAAGCTTGCAATTAAAGAACTTTTTTGCAAGAATCTAGTTGGTCTAATAAAAGATAGCACCTCTACTACGAGTCCTGATTGCTTTTTCCTCTAGACCAGTCTGGCTACAACCTGGATACCTGATTTCAGATTAAGCATTTTGGAAAAAAATGGGGGAGTTCTTCATAGTTTATCTGAGTATATTACAAGTAGGTGAAACTCTTATGTTGTAAGTATGATATACTGTATAAAAACACACGTAGACTCCAGTCTGAAAAAAGTCATGGAAAAGAAACTGGGGGAGTGTACTAGGGGTGGAAACCTGAAATTTCAATGAGATGCTTATCTTGGACTGATTGAAGCTTATCTTGAAAAGATAATTTAAACAGAGAGAAGGAAAATCAATCTTGCTACAGAACATTCTTTTAGTGAGCTATTTTTTTAGAGTGAGGGAATTGCCTGACAAAGGTAAATATAACCATCTGGATTTCCAGTGTGTATGGTGATATTTTTCTCTTCCCAACGTATATAGATTTGCTGTTTTTCTTTAATTATTCTAGAACAGACATATATACAACAAAACAAAGGCAATAAAATTGATGCAAAGAAAACGCAGTGATACTGTGTACCGAGGCAGGAGGAAGAACCAATGTCAGGAGAATATCAGTAATGCTAAATTCTAGGAATGGGAAGAGGAATGCCCATTGTGCAAATGTGAGCTAAAAATAAATCTCAGATCATTAGTAGAAATGAAGAAAACTTAATGGCAAATGGTGAATATGAATAGAAAAGGACAGTCAGCGTACTAGAGTCCTGATGTGTATTTGGTTTAAGAAGAAAAAAGCAACTTTTTGTTGAAAAGGGTCCAGTAGCTGAAACACTGAAGAGCTGTCCAATTACTTAACACAGATCTTCAGCATGTTTTTAGAAGCCTTAAACTGTTTTAATATTTGGTTTGTAGAATGGAAGATGGGGAAGACACAGGTAGTAAAATAAATCCTCAAACTAAAAAAAAATAGCTTGCAAATAAAGACTTTTTTTGCAAATATCTAGGTGGTCTAATAAAAGATATCACCTGAACCACAAGTTCTGATCCCCAAACTACGTATTTACCAAATGATTCGGCAGAAGATACGGCTCCAAGAATTGAGAATGGTGCTTTTGTCAATCTGCTTTTCATTTGGAGAAATGCTGTAAGGAAAATAGCCATTTATAGTCGGGTTACGTGACTGGATCTTTACGAAGACGTAGAACAATTTTAGACAGAGGCTGCAAAGAACCGTTTGGCTAGTTGGCTGCAGTTTTGCAAACCTCAGCGATTCAGAGTTGCCTTCAACCATTAAATAAATGTGGGTGCCTTTTTGGAGCCCTTAGGGAAATGGTTCTCAACCTTTTCAGGGTCAAAGCATCCTACCACCGCTTTTTATTTTTGGTGGGGTTTTTTAATGCGGGGAAACCTTGGGCTGAGAACCACTTTTAGTGCTGCCTTGGCTTACCTGAGCGCTTCTTAGCTGGGTTCTGCTGCTGGGAAGGGCTGTGTAACTGCAGTGAAACTGCCCTGTGTTGCAAAGCCAGCTTGGGAAGGGCTGTACCACATGCAGGCACTCCCCTGGCATTAGCGCTCCCAAAGGAGCGTACAGCTGGCAGCAAAGCTGCCTCTAGCAGTGCAGCTCTTTCTGATCCATCCCTGCCCCCCACCCTCACCCCATGCTCCTCGTGGAAACGAGTAGCGGGACAGTTTCACCCACACCTGATCCTGTTTTGGTCCCTGTTCCTCTTGCTACCGTAGGATGACAGTCAAAACAGGGATATAGGCAGGAGCAAGAAATACACGGCTGTTTCCTGCTTTTCTTTTTTTCCAGAGATTCAAATTCATCCACTTCCTCATTGTGGAAGGGCATGAGGCAGAGCTAGGTAACCTAATGACAAACCCCACATTTCGTGAATACAAGTGCACTGGGGGAAGAGGCAGAAGAAGATACTAAGCTGTTCTCCAATCACTAAGCCAAACAGAGATAGAGTCACAGGTGGGGTTTCTTTTTTTCTTTTTTAAAGATCTCATCCTTGATGACTTTGAGTACCTGTTGCCTTAAGATGCACAGCCCCATTCTGAGTACCTGTTGCCTTAAGATGCACAGCACACATGACGAAGGCTTGCTGAGCATCCAGAATGGCATTATACACTTTCCTAAAGCTAGGATGAGGAGCGCTAAGAGTGGGAGGGTCAAGATGCAGGACCTGATTGAGAAGCTGAAAAATCACCACTTCATAAAGTGGTGGAGGAAGGGAGGTGAGAACTGTGAATGGCAGCGGGGAGGGAAATGTGAAACACATATCCCCCAGAGAATGAGAGTCGGCAAAGAGGTGATGCACAGCCACACCCTCAAGGACCATAGATCACACCTGGTCCCTCCCCTGATCACAAGGTCGGGGTGCAGGAGAGCAGAAGACATCAGCTAAATAAAAGTCTGAGCAAAGTCTTCAAGATTGGCCTTTCCAGATATATAGGCGGCTGCTGTCATTTGGCAAATGCAGATCTCCCACCATTTGACATGCTGTTACCTCGAGGCTAGACGGCGAGCAAGGCAGAATCCAGTTTGCTCTTAGACGAAGCAGGTGAATGACTGACTGACTGCATGAATACATATAAATATACAGTATGTATTTATAAATATACATGCATGTGCAATGTATATGCTGTGTTTACCCAAGTCTAAGGCAGCTCCATATCTTTAGGATGATTACCCCCCACTTCCCAGTTATAATTTTCCATGTATAGGATCTAAATTATTGGGGGTTGTCCTTTTAAATTTGTTCCCCCCCCCACCCCTCCTACCTGTTACGGGGAAAGTAATGGCAGAAGTGGGGAGGGCCCAGACCTTTTAAGTCGCTGTAAGTGCAGTACGTTTTATTTCACTGAGCTCTGACAGGCATGTGGTTGTTGGTTGATTTGCTGTATAGCAACTCACTACATCCATAGATAGGCAGTGCAGAAATTAGTGATTTAATGAATGCTTTATGCAACACATAATAAGCAAAAGGATTATGCTGCTATACTATATCATATACTGTAACAGTTGTCCATACCAAAAAAAAATCTTTCTTGCCCAAAGAAACTTTTTTGTTCAGGCTACCTGTTGAAGTCACCTTCAAAACTTAAGGTCCAGTATGGGGCTGTTTTGTATGTGCTGTTAATATTTGGTCCATATTGGCTAGAAATGTTCAGCAAAACTACATAATGCAGTGGATTTTGGAGATGTGCATGCTGTTTTCATAGTGGGGGAAGCAAAACAAAACCTAGACTTCAGATATGGTATCTTCTAACATCTGGGCTTCACAATATTTAACCACCTGCCAAGCACCCCAAGGCATCTGGTTAGCTAACATAATAACTTTCATCCGCATTACATTTATTGTAATGTGGATAAAATGTACATAATGCAGTCAGTGCTTTTATGAAGATGATAAGGGAAGTGCGAGTTGGTAATTAAAACCTCTTACTCTCTTGAGATGTTGGATTCAGGTAGATACGTTGGGTTGAAATTATTCTTTTGCACTTTCTCTGAACCTTTATAAGAAATCTTTTGTGTATTTATATTGCTGTGTAAGGGAAGGCTTATGGATGTATGCCAGACAGCAGTGATGCAGTGGATTTCAGCTAGTGCTGCCTCAGATATGCAAAAGGACCTTTTTAAATTTTAAACCTTTTGCTAGGGCTTTCTGACACCTCAGAAACCTGAAACTAAATCAATTTCTGCTAGAAAGGTTTGTGCACAGCTCATTGTAAATGGTTCCAGGAACCTGGAATAAAGAAAAGAGAGGGACCTTCCTTTGTTCCTGCAAATAACTTACAGCTTGACATTAAGTTTTTTGTTATGCTCTGGCTGTTTCAGCATAGGTCTCTTTTCAGCCATGAAAGTCTAAATGGTACTTTTCACTGTACAGAATGTAAAGAAGCAGATTTCTTCCCCCGCTTTTCACTTCCTGGTTATAAAACTTCAATTCTTCTTGTTTGCCCCTTTGCATGGACACTGCAAAATTGATAGGTTCCAGTTGAGGCAGATGCTTATTTTGCTTTCGCCCTTCCTGCTAGTGG